AAGGGCTCCTGTTCCCGAGTATAGCCCATGGAGGGCTCCTGTTTCCCCGTTAAGCCCAGGGAGGGCTACTGATCCCCCGTTAAGCCCAGGCAGGGCTCCTGATTCCCCGTTAAGCCCAGGGAGGGCTCCTGATCCCCCGTTAAGCCCATGGAGGGCTCCTGAAACCCAGTTCAGCCCACGGAGGGCTCCTGTTTCCCCATATAGCCCACAGACGGCTCTTGATCCCGAGTTAAGCCCAGGGAGGACCCTGCATAGACAGCAATGCAACTGACATGTTCCAAACATTATGGCTGAACCACTGATGCCACATGGACTATTTTAACAATGTCCTTACTACTTTTCTGGGCCTTGAACGTGGTAGCTACGTTGCTGTCTATGCAGGGTCAGAAAGCTCTCAGATTTCATCAAAAATTTAATAATTTGTGTTTTTAAAGTAAATAATTTCTTTCTTTCTTTCTCTCTCTCTCGATTAAATATTTTCTGGCATCAAATTCATATTCATTATTGACATTTCTCTTGCTTTTTCCACTGTCCTGGATTTTTTATTTTTTTTCTCTTTCTCACTGATCATGTCGCAGTGCATCATGGGTGAAGGATGTGATGCTGCCCTAGAATTTGGAGAACAGGTATCTTAGAAAGCAGCATAACAGCAACAAAAAAAAAAAGATGTAGTTATCAGGGTTGCTTTTGACAATTTTAAGATTCACATGGACATCAAAAGAAGATTTTTTTTCAGAGAATGCTATCTAATGACTACGCTACATAATTCTGAGAACAAAAAATAGAACAAATCCCATTGCATACAATATATGTGATTTTATTTCATTCAGTCCCTCTGTAGATTCCTCTATACAGCCTTATTTCCATCCCTAGTTTCATTAACTGTAGGATTTTCACATTCCTGCAGGGGTTGAGGGTTGTTTCTTTAGTCGGTCCACACCAGGGACCCTTCTTTTTCTGTAAAAAGTTGTCTTGCATTATTCTAGACCTCTTTTCATACATAAACAAGAAGGAGCTTAGAAGTCTGTTTTATCACTGTCTCAATGGGTATCGTAAATTATCTAATTGCATACATTTGCCCCTAATTGGATTTTCTTGCACTGTCGGTGCTTTTGATCTTGAGTTCTCGTAGCTCTTCTGCGTTGGATGGGCCAAGTATCCATCATGTAGCAGCACACGATATGACAGCCAGGCCTAGTGTGTCTGGACTGGGGACAAAACCAGTGTTACTATCAAGCTCATTAATACTGCATCATAATGATGCACTTTTAAAGCACATTTATGAATATGTGAATGAGCTATTACACAACAGAAGAGCTTGCCTCAGAGGACACTTTGAAATAGGGCTTAATCAAATTGTGATCATTGATCAACTGTACAGTCAATACTACTGCAACTGTACAGCCAGGACTGCTAACTATACAGCCACATTGATCTTTACTGCTCTGGTTTATAGACAAACTGTGAGTGTATAATGTGTGTGTGAGTTAAACAGGAAGGTAATAAATAAGAGACCATGGCATGAATATATTTGGAAGAGCATACTAACATACTACTGTCTTCAGTATATAGTATTTTTATGCAGTATTCATATTGCGACATTTCTGCAAAATTATATCATGTTGCTTCTTAACATTTTACAGCATTTTCAAAGTGAAATGTCCAGTGGGTTAGAAACATATTCAGTTTTATCCAAAACAGATGGATATGAATCTGGAAAGGATTTATTACATTGGTTGTTGTACGTATTGTGGCGCTTTGGAAATTAAATGTCTGGTCAGTGATGCTAAAACTTAAGCTTATACTAAAATGTATTTATTTATTTTTTATTTTTTTATTGTACCATCCAACCTTAAAATCTAACAAATTTAATTAACGAAAGTGTTAACAAAAGCAAACATCAGCTAAAAATGCATTTGTTGAAGCAACTATGCGTTTTTGTTTGGTTCTATTAGTGTTTGAGCTCTTTTATCGAGTCTCATAACTTATGTTTCACAGGACTTGTAACTGAATGCTCCACATTGCCAGTGCAGTACTGTACCAGGTGGGTCACTATGCAATTTTACTCCATTAGAAACGCCATACATATGGAGCTGGTTATGTCATTAATTTAATAAATTATTTGCCTCTGTAATTATAATTTGTGTGAAAAGGAATATATGTTGTTGGTGTTTTACTGCCACTGGTGTTCATTTTAAAATATGCAGAATACAATGCAATAAGAATACACTCACAGTGCAATGCGCTCCATCTGACCTTCTGTTTCCAGTGTGAACCAGAATCTCTTTTTCAATCTCTCTCTCCTCTTTTTTTTTTCTCTTTTCTACAGAATTGTTAAGCAGTAGACTAGAAATACATTCTAAACAACCCTTATCTGTAGACCCTGGATCAAAACAACGCAACCTTAGTTGTTCTTTCAAAAACAAATCAGACTTTAACCAAT